CAAAAGACAGTGATCCACTTGGTCAAAATGCACTCCCACATACGGTGTGCACGAACATTGGTACACTAATATCACCGAGGCAGAAAATGCATTCCATGACCTTTATTGTCGGCATGCTGTTACACACATTCGTTCCAATATTTGACTTCCAGCGGAGCAGATGTAGAGAAGCTCGTTGACCTGCACATCCAAGTGGGTACTACTGAAATCACGAGGGAAAGGGAGGTGGAGGAGGAGGAGAGGGAATGAATGAACCAGGTGCTGGCATTGTAAAAGAGGGTTACTGCCGTGTAATTTAGACAACATCGAATAAGTTCACATTAAACGAGGAAATAACATTAGCTGAAATGCACTGTGTGAATTTGAGAGCTATCAACGGAGTTATTTTCGAGAATTCAATCTCAATGCCACTTAAGTGTGCAAAGGAGATATAAGAGTATAAAAGCAGGAAACACGCATCGGAGGCCTGCTCTGTGTCGCATAATTTGTGGAAGATAATAGGCGCACAATATCTTGTATAAATTGCACTAGCGATTTGACAATCAGCTGTCAGTCACAGGTTGGTGATTTTCGAATGGCGAAGCAATCGATACACACCGAGCAGCGATTCGGTCACAAACTCGCGCTCACAGTTGGGACGCTGAAGGACGTCGTCTGCTATCCTGCACTTTTTCAGCTAGTCTACGTAGTACTAATTATGTTTATTCAATTACGTGGACTTGACCTCCGCGTTTGTTGTGTCATCTGGACGGTGACAGACATTGGATCTGCTTTGATGAAGGGTAGGTGCTGTAATTCAGGCTGAAGGAATGCATTTCTAACATCGATAACGTGTAGGTTGCCAAAGTAGAAGCTGTCAGAAGGCAGTTCAGACCGATGATTATGTGGAGGAAGAAGAGGACTCTACGGAAACATCGGATACAAAGTTTACCAGATTTTGGCGAACACTTAGTTCCTTCGAACACAGAAGTCGTTCAATGTGGACGTTACGGTCGCAAACCTTGGTAGGGGAAGAAACGAGAGGAGCAGCCGCTGACACGAGCTATGGAATAGAAGAAATTCCTGATGGATGGGAGTGGGAAGGTGGGGGCGTGATTAAAGCAAGAGAAAGTGACGCCAATAAGAGGAAGAGTAGTAGTAAGGCAAAGCGCTGTTTGATGAAGGAGGGGAATGGCAGAATGGAGAAAGAGGTGAAGAAGGGGGAGGTGCACGAGGCGAATTGCGAGGATGGGAATGTGACGAAATCACAAGGAAGGAGTCGTGGGAGATGGAGGTGATTCAGGGCCCGAGTAGCTGCACTTGGAGCAAATGTACGCAGACACCGACACCAACATCGACATTGAATGAATGGTCCACCAGACACCGAATCGAGGGAATGCTGGTCGCCAACGGCGCGACATGCAAGGTTGGTAAGGCTGTCTTTCTGGTTAATGTAAAGCCTTGATAATGAAATGATTAGTGAAACGTCAGTTGAGTGACATGGAATCGGCGTCACTTTGTGGTACCTGCTCAGACATGCAGCGCTGTGTGAAAAGGATGGAATTGAGGAGGTGGGTGAGGAGTGGGTAGGATATGCACGGTCTGAGGAGGACGACTACTTTTGCTGCATTTGTTCAAAACGAAAGATTCGCAGGTCATTTGGTTGAGTGTGAAGCTCGAGTTGCCCTGACTGATTGCAAACGCACTACTCGGCATGCAAGGAATGTGAGACTGCCTCCATTGCATGGCAAGGAATTGTCGTGGATTCAATAGAGGAGTAGATTTCCATGCATCTAGGTGATGGGTGGCAGAACGCCTGACGCAC